CGTATACAATTTTTCTGTATCCCCAGCCGAAAGTACGTTAAATAATTATTGTTTGAATAATAAAATAGCTCAATAAGTTGCCCGCCCGACTTTTGCAAAGTCGAGGCGAAGCCGAGACTTAGCTGGTCGGGGCGGGCATGAAAAAAAAATTATAAGTAAAAAATAATTGGAAGTAAAATTTAAAAAATAGTAAACAAGAAATTTTCTTTTACAAATATATATTTAATAATTAAAAAATAATAAAAGAAAATAAGAAATTTCATGCATTATTTTGATGACTGTCAGTTGTTTTCAAAACGTGAGCTCTGTAAGTAACGTGTTGTGTGGTTGCTATGCTAACATGTACGTGTGTTGAAATTCTTGTAACCAATCAGAGCGCTCGTTGGGTCTGTCGAGCCGGCCACAAAAGTCGCTAATCCCGGAGCCAAATCAGACCGGGAAAAAAACTGAAAAATATGCATATTTTAATATTTTTAGGATAAAAGTTATAAAGTAAAAGGATACAAGAAATGACTACCAGAATGATAAAAATTGATATATTCTTATTCCTCACGAAATATTATATTTAGATTCTAAATTTTTCTGTATTAAAAAATAGAAAAAATTATTTTAACTATTATTATATGGTTTCTAAAAAAAATTATTGAGTCAGAATCAGTGAAATTTTACAAAAAATAAGAAGTATTTTTATAATCGAAATGAAAAAAAGCATTTTTATTTGGCCATTGTCTCTAACAAACAAACGACAGAAAAAATTGTGTTTAAAAAAAGTTATTGTAAAATGAATTTTTTTGCAACTTTTTATAAAAAAATCTTATTTTTCCTAAAACAATGAACCAAGAGTGCATATAAAAGGGGTAAAACAATTAACTTTCATTTGGAACTACAAAATTTTTAAAAATAGTATTTTTTAATAATTATTTAATATTAACAGTTTTATTTCCTCATAGGGTGTCGATTTTCTTAGAATCAATTATTTTTACAAATTTTCAAGTATAGCGTATATAAATATTTCAACATGGGGAACAAATTCTCCGGATGTATGTGTGTGGATGCATATCGAAATGTTTTTTCAACATTTCGATGAAAAAAAATACTTTTTATTTCTCGTGAAAATTTTATAAATTTTGAACCTTTTTTCTAAATTATTAAATTTTAATTATTATTAAATTGTTTTTAACAAAATATCTTTTTATTTTTATTATAAATATTTATAAAAAGACAATAAGTAATTGCTTAAGTCATGTAAAACGTTGACTTAAAATCATAACCTCAATTCGTTCAAATAAGTTCACCGGCAATGTCAAATAAGATTATCTTATTTGACTATGAATACTTGTCATTCTTAAGATGGGACTATGCATCTCAAAATCGAAGCATTTACTTTTGTCAAGCATATGCTTAAGTTGCGGCTTAAGGCAATGCTTATTGCACGACTATGAATCTAGGTGGCAGCTTAAGTCGCTGCTTAAAGGTACCGTCCCATGACGGCGTAAAAGCGTCGGCGTAAAGCAGAAATCGTGCGATAGAAAGTCCATTATGGTCTATAGAGGCTAGTTGAAGAAGAAGAAGAAGAAGAAGAAGAAGAAGAAGAAGAAGAAGAAGAAGAAGAAGAAGAAGAAGAAGAAGAAGAAGAAGAAGAAGAAGAAGAAGAAAGAAGAAGAAGAAGAAGAAGAAGAAGAAGAAGAAGAGAAGAAGAAGAAGACAGAAGAAGAAGAAGAAAGAAGAAGAAGAAGAAGAAGAAGAAGAAGAAGAAGAAGAAGAAGAAGAAGAAGAAGAAGAAGAAGAAGAAGAAGAAGAAGAAGAAGAAGAAGAAGAAGAAGAAGAAGAAGAAGAAGAAGAAGAAGAAGAAGAAGAAGAAGAAGAAGAAGAAGAAGAAGAAGAAGAAGAAGAAGAAGAAGAAGAAGAAGAAGAAGAAGAAGAAGAAGAAGAAGAAGAAGAAGAAGAAGAAGAGAAGAAGAAGAAGAAGAAAGAAGAAGAAGAAGAAGAAGAAGAGAAGAAGAAGAAGAAGAAGAAGAAGAAGAAGAAGAGAAGAAGAAGAAGAAGAAGAAGAAGAAGAAGAAGAAGAAGAAGAAGAAGAAGAAGAGAAGAAGAAGAAGAAGAAGAAGAAGAAGAAGAAGAAGAAGAAGAAGAAGAAGAAGAAGAAGAAGAAGAAGAGAAAAAAAAGAAGAAAGAAGAAGAAGAAGAAGAAGAAGAAGAAGAAGAAGAAGAAGAAGAAGAAGAAGAAGAAGAAGAAGAAGAAGAAGAAGAAGAAGAAGAAGAAGAAGAAGAAGAAGAAGAAAGTATACATCTTTGTTTCCTTATATATTGAATGATGAAAATTTACAGCACTTACGAGAAAGCAGTTTACTTTTTACAACTTATTATAAGACATAGTTCTTGGGACAGGAATAAATGCAAAATTTATTAATTTATAATGGTCAGTTTCTGAGATAACGAACAACCTACGTTTCACTTTATATTTAATTATTGTAGATACCAAATTTATTTTACATACGCGAAACATAGTCACTGTCAATGATCGGATGGCATCGGCTCATTTACGGAGATTGACGAAGTTAGCAACCAATAGAAATGCAGGCGCCATATGATTGCACTCGCTAGCCACACTTGCTCACCAAAAATTACTACAGTGGATAGTAGGTTTTAATGGAAAATGTTTTCATTTGTCAGATTTTGTGTAATGAAATTAGAGAAAACTATAATCAATTTTTGCTACATTTACAACTCTTACATAAAATATTAAAACTTGCTATTTCAATGTAGCAAATTTATCTAATTCTGTAGTAAATTATGCTAAAAGTCCCCTTATTTCCGGTCATTGCAACCATTTTTAGTAATTTTTACAACTGTGGGTCTCTCCGTGTAATTGTATATATATATATATATATATATATATATATATATATATATATGTAATAATAATTACATTACTAATAATTATTTAAGCCTTCTCTAAACTAAATGAAAGGTAGAGAGTAGGTAGTAAGAGATAGACAAAGGAGAGAGAGAGAGGGAGTGAGTTTTTCTCTTTCTATCTCTGAACAGTGGCGTCATCCGACAACAAGTTGCGGTACTACAAGTTATTATATCTTCGAACAAGTTATTCATATAATTATGATCGAACTTCACTTGTAAGTTCGTTTAATCATTAATTACTACCGCAAAACTGGGGGCAAGATTTTCTGACTCGGCCTATAGAGTGCGTGCTGCTTATACTACTTCATGAACGACATTAGCAGAAACAGGTTTCCTCTCTTTTGTTACGAGCCGCGTTACCTTTAATAACGTAACTCTAAGGCTGAAGTCCCATGGCAGCGTTTTGCGTTGCGTTTTGTAACTAGGCCATGAGTGTAAGAGAGATGGAGATATATGTTTGCTATATTTGCACTAATGGCCTAGTTACAAAACGCAACGCAAAACGCTACCATGGGACTTCAGCCTTAAGGCCAACGCAGAATAGAATCTTTAACCGGAACCGCAATCGTAAGCGTACCGTAAGAATGAGTTAAAGAAGGATAGGTATATTGTTTATGCTTCTCTAACTCATTCTTACGCTTACGGTTACGATTGCGGTTCCGGTTACAGATCTATTCTGCGTTGGCCTTTATAGTTCGCGATGATTCGCCGGATTCTACCTTGATTAAATCCTTAAGGAAGGAAGCGGGAATATTTAAATTAAAAGACGTTTAATTCCGTTTAACGGAAGGAGGAAAGCCCACTCGAGAAATTAGTTTTTCTTGAGTGAGTAAAACCCTCTTTATTGTTTATTAAAATATTTGTTAAATACAAACTGGCTAAGGAGTTTAGAAAACAACCTTCCAAGTCAGAAAGTAACTTAGAACTAACTATAACTATATTCATTCCGCAGAGAGGTTCTCCGCTAAAGTCCATTTTTGTGGAAATGCGCATGCGTTATTCTACGCGCATTTCTTTACTGTAGAATGCAGCCAACATACAGCATCGTTGCACCAATACTTTTCTGCACTACATTGAAACTATACTCACACACACATTCAAGAGAGATCATCTCTACACTCATGCAATTTACACTGCATTCAAATAGTAATAATAATATAAGAACAATTATAATAATAATAATAATAATAATGCTATAATAAACACATGCTAAAATCAACGCAACGCAGTCATTCGCAGACAATCGCAGAGTTTTTGGATCCTATTGGAGAAAGGCCTTTAAAGCGTATGAATATAACCAAACCTTGAACCAAACTAGTGCTCTTGAATCTCTTCCACCCCGGTGGCATTGCTCATTTTTTCCATTGTATGAAAAGACATGAGAGCTGAAAGTGTCCACCAGCTGGCGCCAGCTATGCACGGGCCCTGTTTCAGTTAAAATGCATGGGATATTGCAAAAAAATTAAATTTTCACTAATTAAAATTAATTAAATCGTATTTCTTTGTACACAATATTAATATAGAAACTTTTTAACATATTTTTTGATAGTTATAGCCTTATAAAAGAGTAGAATATTTAATTTATAACGAAATTTTCATCTCAGTTTTAGGCGGGAATTTCAAAAAATATTAATTATTATTATTATTTATTATAAATTTTTTTATTTCTCATCTACTCAATATAGTTTTAAAATATTAATAGTAGTAAATTAAAAAATAATTATAAATAATTATAAAAACTTACATATTTTTGAAAATCCCGCCAAAAATTTAGGTAGAAATTTCGTTCTAAATAAATTATTCCACGCTTTAATAATGTAACAATTGTTACAAAATATGTTTAAAAGTTTCTAGATTCATTTCATGTAAAAAAAATATGATTGAATTAATTTCAGTTAAAGAAAATACAATTTTTATGCATTATCCCATGTATTTTAATTGAAACAGGGCCTGTGCATAGCTGGCGCCATCGGTGTCAACTTTCAACAGTTGGTACACTTTCAACTCATCAATGCCACCGGGGTGATCTCTTCTTGAATATATATATTTATAACCTAAAAAACTAAATAATCAACATAACCAAACTTTATTTTCAGTTGAATTTTTTGTTCCAATGTATAAATATTATGTTTTATTGAAGAAATTTAGTAAATTTTTAAAAAATTTAATATTAATTCCAAAAAAGATATATGAATTTAAAATTTTATCTCATTAAAATCTAATGATAGTGTGTAATTTCACTAGAATAAGAATTTTGAAATGTATTTCGGCATTTACATGTTGGAAAAGAAATTCTTTTATAGACCACAAAAAGAGTTTTTCAATTTTTGTCAACAAACGAAATTTAGTAAACACTGTTTTAAAAGAACCTTGGAGCGTTTTATTTTTTGGATCAGATGAATTTGCATTAGAAAGTTTGAAAAATCTCTATTCTCAGTAGTAAGTTCTTGTAGATTATTTTTATTTCTACTTTTATTGAAATTCAGAATATATTATTATCTTTAATTGATTAATTTTTGGATATTTACAGTAAACTGCAAAAATTACTCTGTCGTCTAGAAGTTGTAACTGCTTATAAGGGTAAAGAAAATTGTCTTACAAAATATGCAATTGAAAATGGAATTACAATTCATTCATGGCCTCTTGAAATTAAAAATATGGAATTTCACATTGGAGTTGTGGTATCTTTTGGTCACTTGATTCCTTCCCTAATCATAGATTCGTTACCTCTGTAAATGAAAATTTTTTATACTTTGTACACGTAATAATACAAAATTTTTATTGTCTTTGAATAAAATTACAAATCATTTTTTGCAGGGGTATGATAAATGTTCACGGAAGTTTATTACCCAGATGGAGAGGATCAGCTCCTATAATTCATGCAATAAAAAATGGCGACACAAAAACTGGAATTTCCATAATGACGATAATGCCAAAAAAGTAACGTAGGATTACATAAATAAATAATATATTGTAAAAAGAAAATTTTAACAGACTTGCAAATAAAAACAAGGAATATATCAAATATAATATATCTCAAAATATATATATTCTTTTTCAGTCTTATTTTAAATATTTTAATAATATTTAATTTATTTTAATATTAATTATAATTTATAGATTTGATATTGGAAGCATATTAGCACAGGAGGAAACTACTATTGATTTACATGAAACTCAACCGGAATTGTACAAAAGATTAGCTATAATGGGTTCCAAATTACTAATTAAAACAATGGAAAAGTTACCTCAAGTTTTATCCTCTGGAATACGTCAAAACGAAATTGGTGTAACATACGGTACTTAAATAACAATTAAATACTAAACTTTTTATAAATTACCTTTAAAAAAGTAATTTCATTAAAAACTGTTTTTTCTTTTTCAGCTCCAAAAATAAAACCAGAAATATCATTCATCAAATGGAATGAAATGAATGCTAAAAATGTTTATGATTTAAATCGATCATTAACAGGGCTGTTTCCCTTAAAAACAAATTTTAACGGTCAAGCGATAAAGGTTTTTGATATTCAGGTGTTTTCCGATTCAATATATGTAACTCGGTCAGAAAATATTGAACCAGGTAATATTTTCTCTTATACAATTTCTATCAAATTTATACAATTATTGCTAAGTAAATAACAAGATTTTCCGCTTCTCTTACAGGAACAGCATTTTATCATAATCGAACTGATTCACTAGTAGTCAGGTGTAAAGATAACACTTGGGTGTCGATTAAAGTAATAGGCATTCCAGGAAGGCCTAAGTTATCTGCTTTCAATTTCACAAATGGATTTATGGGCGGAAAGAAGCAGAAATTTTGCCTCTTTACCTCGTAATAATTGTACAAAAATTAATAAATAGATTAAGTTATATAGAACTTTCTTTTAATTTTTAATGTTATATTTTTTTATTGAAATCTTTTACATTTAAATATTACATTAATTTTCTCTTGGAAAAATTACACACATTTTTGTAAATCAATTTATTGAGAATAGATCTACAAAAAAACTTACACAAAGATACTTGTATATTATATGTTAAAAATATACTAAATTAAACGCATGAACGAAGTAATTTCGATAATTAGAAAATTGCATTAAGTCTAGTGTGTTACTACAAAAATAATGTAGAGATGAATCACTGAAAAAATTGCTTTCGACTATGTCGTAATTTCATTTAATCATTTTTCTTATTTGTAAGAAATTCTAAAACTTCTTACCAATTGTATTCGATTGACATCTTCAAACATAAATCTTACACATTAGTCGATTAAATAGTTGTAAGATGAATAATTTATTATTTTTCTAATTCTCGGATTCAGATGCCTAAAGTAAAAAACAAAATGTATTAATATATTTAAAGAAAAAACTAATAATTGAAATAATTTTTAAAATTATTAATACAGTAAGTTCTCGCGAGTCGTTCAATTCTCAAAAATTTTCGAGACCATAAAACTCACGAGTCGTTCAACGCATAAGCCACGCCTCCAGAACCATTTCAGGGATGTGTGAAGCATATTTATCATCCCGAAAGAAAGACAATATTTAATGACTTTGGTCCGTTTAAAACCTAGTATAAAATGTACAGCACTGAGCACTGGCGCGCATACTGGAAACTGAACAACTCGTAAATCTGAAGTGTCAGATCAGCTGTTGAACGACTCGCGAGAACTTACTGTAAATAAAAATAATAAAACACAAGAAAATAATGTTGTATAGTAGTGATATTCCCTTCCGAAATTTGTTTACAATGATTTTATGTCATCGTTTTATTGTTGTCAGAAGATGAAAAAAGAGAAGCGACGTTTCTTGACTTGATTTGTCATCATCATCAGGCTGAGCCTGCATAAATAAAAAATTACACATAAAACAAATATTGAATAATAAATTAAAACATTAATAAATAAACAGACAAAAAAGCATTTATCATTTATTTAACATTTATCATAGCTTGATGATGATGACAAACCTAGTCATCGAAACGTCGCTTCTCTTTTTTTATCTTCTGACGACAATAAAATGATGATATAAAACCATTATGTTATTTTATTCTTTCCAAGGATCGAATCTTCTACTTACGATGCGGTTACACCTCTACTGCAACAAGAGTAAGCGAGAAAGTGTATTAAATTTGAATTCTCTCTCTCTTACCCTTGTATATTATCATGGCAAGCTGCAGGCAGGCAGGCTGTCTGCAGAGGTGTAACCGCAGCTTTACTTAAAAAAAAGAAAATAATGTTGTTTTTGTCCAAATTACTTACGCTCGGATCACAATCAGCGCAGTGCCAAGAATATCCTCGACGTTTTGGTGATTTTTTCACCGGGGGATCCAAACAAGTGAAATGATAACATTTCTTGCATTCATCACACCTGAGAATAATTTTATTTGTTTTAATATATCTAAAAATTGGTTTTCAAAAAATATTCAAAAACGGAGAAAGACTAACATAACTAAATTTTGAGTTGTTCCAGGATTGCTGCAGACATTACATTGAGTAAGAAGATCAGCTTCCTTTATTTTTCTATTCATTCCTGAATATCTTCCAGTAGCGCCAGTTGTATTGACAGGTGTTGACGTCACAATCTGAGGAGGAGGCGGCAAAGGAGCAGGAAATTTTGGTGATGGTGGTTTCGGCGTAAATTCAGTGCTTGTTGACGTTGCAATAAACATTTGTGGGCTCGAATCCGAAGCAATATCTCCGTCTGGTCGTGGTATTGGTTTTATCTATACAATATATAGAAATTCAATTATGTAAAATAATTTTTATTATATATAAATATAATAATTATATAATATAATAATATATAATATATTGTAATAATTTTTATTATATATATATATATATATATATATATATATATATATAACAGTACCGCACTGCAAAAAATAGCGTCTCAAAATAAGACGTTTATAAACGTCTTATGTAAATAAGCGTCTTATTTGAGCGTCTTAAATGAAAAACATAACCTCCAAATACATGCATTTTAGAAGGCAAATAAGACGCTTATAAACGTCTTAGAAGTGACTACGTAAACGTCTTAAACCAAGACGCTCTTTTTTTACAGTGCGTCCGTGAGTATCAGGACGCCCCTTTTTTCATGAGTGGAAAAATCCTTAAGACGTAGAAAATAAGAATGACAAACATTTTTCGTATTTTTTTCCTGAAAGCTAATGAAATTATGAAAAGACTGACACCTGATCGAAAAATTTTCGTTGACTATTCTGTCAGATACAGAAAAAATACTGGATTTTGCATGCTTTTCGTAATTTTTCAATTTTTCGAAAACTAATTAACTTTTATTAGCGCTCTTGGTCTTGTTTTAATCTCTATTTAATGTAGAATCTAAATTATTAACTGGTATAGTGAAATAAATTTTTCCAAAAAAATTTGAAACTGTAAACGTAGGATTAAAAAAATTCAAAAAATTATCATGAATATTAAAGTGTCAAAAAGGTCAATGTATAATATGTTTATTTAATAGATATACTAAAATTTCGAAAAAGCTTTTTATATCACAATACCATTAATTAATTTAGATTCTACATTGAATAGAGATTGGAACAAGGCCAAGAACGCTAAAAAAAGTTAATTACTTTTCGAAAAATTGAAAAATTACGAAAAGCATGCAAAATCCAGTATTTTTTCTGTATCTGACAGAATAGTCAACTAAAATTTTTCGATCAGGTGTCAGTCTTTTCATAATTTTATTAGCTTTCAGGAAAAAAATACGAAAAATTTTTGTCATTCTTATTTTCTACGTTTTAAGCATTTTTCCACTCATGAAAAAAGGGGCGTCCTGATACTTACGGACGGTAGTGTTATATATGGGCAATTCCACGTGAGATTTAAGTCGACCTCTTAAAATCGGCCAAAAATATTTTTTTTCTATTCTGTACACGGAGAGAAATCTGTTGCGAATAATGCATAGAGTAGAGGTTATGAATATAGTATAAGCACTTACTAGCGAAAAGTATAAGAGGTCCGCCTGAATATCAGTCGACTCCGCCTAATATTCAGGCGGACTCGAGCAATAAATAGGCTCTCTGTTAGGATCTTAGCATCAAAGAATCTATGGAAAAAGTATATGAAAAGTTTCGAGCATTAATCCTAACAGATTTCTCTCCGTGTACGAAAAAAACAGATACGTATTTTTTTATTTATGTTTAATTGTCCAAATTTTCGAGTTATGAATTTTCGAAAATTTGGACTTTTAATTGTAGACCTATATTCAGTAGCTTATAAGTCCGAAAATATTGAGTTTAGGAAAAAGTTGTCAAAGAATGAAAGTTTTAGTTTTCTTTCGACTTTTAAGAAATGTAAACATAAAAATTATTTTTTAATTTTTTATTAAAAAAAAATCTTTTTTTATAAACAAATTAATTTTTTTAACTTTGGGCCGGATTTTTTTTTAATTTTTTTTTATTTTTTTGTACCTTATAATATAGAGAAGATTTTCCCAAAAAGTCCCAAAATGGGCCTGATGTGTTAAATGAGTTTTGAAATATTTTCAAAAATCACTTGCACACGGAAAGAAAAAGTCCGTCAATCATTAATAGACTAGTATATTACTTTGAGACGGGACACAAAATCATTGAATGGATAACATAATATGAGTCACAATCAGTGACGAGTTGCTTGCTAAAATTTAGAAAACTTTCATCAATATATAAAACTCGTTCACTAAAATTTAGAAAACTGTCTATTAAATTTTCTATGACTATCAAAAGCATTCAAAAAATTCAACTTCTTTCAGAATTATCCCTAATTTTAGACACTATTTGGTACAGAATGAACACATTTTTTTCGTTGCACAGTTCCGATATTTTATTTACACACAAAAAAATATGGTAAGTTTGACTACTTTTTTACTATTTCCTGTAGTTCCTATAGGCGCCCGTAACATTATTTAGTAAAATGAACTATGACAGAATAGTTAGTCTAACTGTAAAATGTAGTAATAAATACCATTTTTACAGTAAATTTAACTACTAAAACAGTTATCTTAACTATTTGTTGTTAGTCATACTAACTGCTTCATTTAGTTGCAGTAACTAAATTTTCATAGTTCCTATAGGCGCCCGTAACAAATTTTACTTGTAACAACTGTAAAAAATAGTTAAATTAACTATTTAAAGTAGGAAAATGAAATTATTTATTTGTTTTTTATTATTATTGAGGTCCATTTTTTTATATTTTCTCTCACCTATTTTTGTTCATATATAATTTATATATTAAATTCTTATACACCTAACAGAGAAAAATCCCCAAACGCCGGGGATTGAACGCACGACCCTAACATTCGCAAACCGATAACCTAACCACCTAACCACGCTCGCACGCTACGATGACTGGCATTGTACTTGAGAACATTCTTCTTAGATTCAGTCATAATAACTACTCCGTTTAGTTGCAGTAACTAATTTTTTAAGCTCAAGGACTTAGTTGAAATGTAGCCAGCATATGATTTTAAATGACTCAACGATAGTGCAGTAGTCAAAAGTACTGTTGAAAATAGTTATTTTCAGAATTTCTGTAGTAAAATTATCCACTTTTTACTAGTTATAAAAAAATTAAACTTACTATTTTCATATAGTAAAAATAACATAAAAATTGTTACTTTTATGACTTTTGTAGTTATAAAAATAAATGTTTCTTACCACCATAGAGATAAATTATTAAAAGCTAGTAAGAATTGGTTCTTTTCTACTACAGGAATTCCGAAAATAACTATTTTTAACAGTACTTTTAACTACTGCACTATTGTTGAGTTATTCACAATCATAACGTGTAGTAGTAATTTTAACTACATAAAACCTACTATTCAATTTTAGTTCCACTAACTATGGAAGTTTAGTTAAAATGCTGCTGAATATGGTAGTTTTAACTATATTTTTTTAACTGCACATATGTGGATGTTTTTACCACTCACGTTTTTTCTCTGTAGAAAAAAATGATCTTTTCAACTGCATAAATAGTAAAAATAACTATTTTCAACAATTGATTTCACTATATGAAAACAGTAAATTTCTTTCTTTCTCTGCAACTAGTAAGAAATAGTTGTTTTAACTACATAAATCATAAAAGTAACAACTTTCAGAGGTTGTATTTACTATATAAAAACAGTAAGTCTCATTTTGTTTGCAACTAATACAAAATAGTTATTTTTTCTACCACAATAGTAAAATTAACCATTTTTAACAATAGTTTTTACTACTACACTATAGTTGAGCCATTTACAAGCATCTGTTAGTTATTTCAACTACGTAAAGTAGTTATTTTAACTACATAAAACCAACTACTTCATTTTGGTTCCACTAACTGAGGAGGTGTAGTTAAAATGCTGCTGAATATGGTAGTTTTAACTACTTTTTTTCTAACTACACAAATGTGGTTGTTTTTACCATTCGCATTTTTTTTCTGTGTACACTCTTAGACGCTTTAGACCAACACATTTTCGCACTTATAATAACTACACGTAGAAACGCACACTTATAACACTTTAAGTTTAGAAGCGAACTGTTCTTATATACCAAATAACAAAATTTTTCACAACTTGTGAGAAATGATTTTGCACTAATAACTACTTTTTAATTAGCGAGAAATATAAAAGAAAATATATTTTCATCGCGAGGTCAATTTCTAGACGCAATTCAACTGCAAATTATTAGTTAAGTTAAATATTCACATTACACATACATAATAGAATATAGGGATTTGTATATCAGACAGCAAAAACACATGGACTACAGAGAAACCGGAAGAAATGCGCATCGGTACACTGCGCAACAATGCGCTAGTGAAGAGCGCCGATTTAGAATACGAGTCAACTAACGTTTCACAAACTTTCACTAATGATTCGTAAACATTCAAACAGCCATTGATAACAATTCAGCATTAAATCTAAAACACACTCAAAAAAAAAACTAGTAGATTTGACTACTTTTTAACTACCCTGAGTGATTCAATAGGTCCTCAACTGAATTTAAAAATTTATATTTACTACCGAAAGTAGTAAAAAGAACTAAGAATTTAGTTGATGTAATTAGATTTTGTAGTTGTTTTTGCAATTTAACTACTTTTTTTAGTTATATAAACTATTATTCTTCAACTATATTCAAAGTAGTAAAATCAACTACACAAAAATTGTTAGTAAAACTAAAAAAGTAATTAATTTGACAACTTTCAACTCAACTAGGTAATAGTAGTTAAAGATTTCGACCGAATTTTTTTCAGTGCAATTGGTCACATACTGGCATTCTAATCAATCCATGACTCCTTTTCAATCGTTAAGTAAAGTTAAGTAACCATCAACGGAAAAAGTGTCCCGTCTCAAAGTAATATACTAATCCATTAATGGTTGACGGACTTTTTCTTTCCGTGCAAGCATCACAGTGGGATTTTTTTACAATTAACTTTCTAAAACTGTCTACAAGGTATAAATTTTAATATATTTGAATTTTCTTTGTTTTAAATAAAAGGGTCTACGCTGTAAACAGTTTTAAAAAGTTAAATGTAAAAAAAATCCCACTGTGATGCTTGCAAGTGATTTTTGAAAATATTTTAAAACTCATTTAACACATCAGGCCCATTTCGGGACTTTTTGGAAAATCTTCTCTATATTATAAGGTACAAAAAAAATAATAAAAAAATAAAAAAAGGCCCAAAGTTAAAAAAAATTAATTTGTTTATAAAAATAATTTTTTTTTCAAGAAAAAATTTAAAAAGAAATTTTTTGTTTACATTTCTTACACACTAAAAAAAAAGTTTTACTTTCAGCCTCTTTTTGAGGCTGAATTTAAGGTGTAAACGGAGTCAGCCCCGTTAAACAAGGACAGTCTTATGTGAAATACATGGGCTGAATTTAAGGTGTAAACGGAGTCAGACTTTTTTTTCCTGTGTAAAAGTCGAAAGAAAACTAAAACTTTCATTCTTTGACAACTTTTTCCTAAACTCAATATTTTCGGACTTATAAGCTACTAAATATAGGTCTACAATTAGAAGTCCAAATTTTCGAAAATTTGGACAATTAAACATAAATAAAAAAATACGTATCTGTTTTTTTCGATACAGAATAGAAAAACATTATTTTTGGCCGATTTTAAGAGGTCGACTTAAATCTCACGTGGAATTGCCCATATATATGTCGTAGGCAAATAGAAAAATCCGGCAATTTAGCTTAATGCCTAGGCATTGGGCTAAATGCCGGCAAGTACATAAATGAATCGTGAAAAATGGTTATTTTTCTATTTGCCTGAAATCAATTAGTCATTTAACTTATTGACTAGGCGTTAAGGAAATTGCCTAAGTAGCACCTGGCAAATAGAAAAATGAGAATATGTGCATGTGTCACTCAACAGAAATATTAAAAAAAATATGTCAAAATTAATTAACACAAATATTTTATTATCAATAATAATAGTCTATCGGATCACCAATTTGGTTTCCGTAAAGGCAAATCCACAGTTGATGCTATCCAGGCAGTTGTGGACATAGCCAAAACAGGAAAAAACAAATTGGGACCTGGAAAAAAGAAGAGCTTCTGCGCGTTGGTAGCAATTGACATATACGCAACGCGTTTAATTCCGCAAGATGGAAAGATCTCATCGAGTCGATAAAAAAGAAAAACATGCCGCCCTACTTGTTGCGGATAATGGATAATTATCTTAGCGACAGGTGGGTTATATATGAGGGAGACACCTGCATTCTCAAGGAAGAGATGCAGTGTGGGGCTCCTCAAGGCTCGAGGGTGGGTCTTTGCGGACGACGCGTTGTTAGTGTGCACTGCCGAAAGTGAGGAGGCTCTTGGGACATTGGTGAACGAATGTCTGCGACTAGCAAAAAGCTGGCTGGATACCAGAGGTCTTGAAATGGCCCTGGAAAAGACCGAGGCACTGCTGGTCACAGACAGACGTGGTTATGAGCTCCCACGAATCGTGATAGACGGATTCGAGGTCAAGTGGAGTAAGCAAATTAAATATCTTGGTGTGGAGTTGGATGGAAGGTTAAACTTCCACCACCACATGGCTACGGCGTCAAATAAGGCGATCGAGTGTGCGGCTAATCTTTCACTGTTAATGCCGAACGTAGGCGGACTCCGTGAACAAAAACGAAGACTGGTGGCGAGTGTCGCCCACGCTAAAATGCTCTATGCAGCACCAGCGTGGGCCCCATCCCTGAGGAGTAAAAGATGTGTGACCATCTGTGAAAAGGTACTGTCAGCGCAGAGATCGATAACAACGCGTATCATCTCTGCATATAAGACGGTATCTACGAGCGCTGTACAGGTCCTTGCAAGTGTCCCGCCAGCAGATCTTTTGGCGAGGGAAAGGGAAGAAATGTTTCTCTTTTCTAAAGAAAGAAGTTCCTTGGATGAGGAAATAAGACCAAGCAAGGGCCTGATCAGCAAAGAAGCGAGGCACAGGCTCATAGAAAGATGGCAAGAAAGATGGGATGGTGAGGAAAAAGGTCGATGGACTTATCGCCTTATCCCGGCACTCGCCACCTGGATAAATAGGAAACACGGTCAGGTTTCCTATTATCTTACTCAGGCGCTCACAGGTCACGGGTGTTTTAACTCGTACCTGTGTCGCTTTAAATTACGCGAGGACGAGGTGTGTGCATATTGCCAGTTCCCTGAGGACAACGCGGAGCACACCCTCTTCTCATGCAGAAAATGGGACTTGAAGAGGCGGGCCATGTTCGAAGGTGTAAACAGTCAAGTTACACCGGAGAACATGGTATCGCTGATGACCCAGTCAGAAGAGAATTGGCGGCAAGTGGAGAACTTTATAATCTCGGTTATGTCGAGAAAGGACCTCGACGGCCGCCAAAAAAGCGTAATTTAAACAGCTTTTAAATTTGTTTGTTCGTTTCTTATTAATTTATTTTGTGATTTAATTGTCCTTATACATTGTTTAATTTGTTTTGTGTTTTTTATTCGTCGTTGTACAGTTTTGTCTTTTCAACATTATAAACGTGTTTATTTTTTTTCTTTTCTTTTTTATATCCGTTTACAATTTTATCTTTTGACTTTTAATACTTCTTAAACAATTTTTTTTTATTATTGTTGTGCTGTAAATTCCGCTTAGACTATGAAATAGTTTTAATCATTTTTTTAACTACGGACGCAGGAAAACCGCAGAGAGAAGAAGAAGGTCGCATTAGCGACAGAGTTGGAGCGCCACCCTCGAAGGCTAAAGTCTTACGACAGTTCCGAGGGAGGGTAAAGGGCTCTAGAAGAAGGGTTACGGGTTTTAGTGGGTCGGGCTGGTAATAGGTCGCCAGTTTATTAAATTTATTATAACATTTATTTATTTATTTATCTTTTTTCTAATATTTCCTTTTGTTTCATTTTACCAACCCCACATAACCTTGGAGTGCGGAATCCAAGGTATCTGTAGGCTGATTTCCCAAAAGTCCCTAAGCAAAAAAAAAAAATAATAATAATAATGGACCTAATCGAGGAAGTCGATAAGGACCCATGGGGTCTGGCTTTTAAAATCGTTACTAAGAAATTAGCGACGAGGCAAAAGACCCCCGGCCTGGACAATCCCGATTGGGTCAGAAAGATAATAAATTCTTTGTTTCCTCCTGCGGAACCATACCTTAGAAGGGACTGGAGTTTTTGCAAAGTCGAAGAGGAAGAACTCTTCACACTTAGTGAACTGCAAAAAGCAGGCAAAAGATTGAAAACAGGCAAGGCGCCTGGAATCGATGGGATAAGTAACGAGATCCTAAAGTTGGTTATCAACACTTCACCCCAGATTCTGCTTCGATGCTTCAATCTTTGCCTTGAGAGAGGAGAGTTCTTCCGCGACTGGAAGCGACAGAGGTTAGTCCTCCTAAGGAAAGGTGAAAAACCTCTAGATAAAGTCTCATCATACAGGCCTATATGCCTGTTGGATACGATGGGTAAACTCCTAGAGGATATGGTTCTGCAGAAAATGCAAAGCCACTTGACCGGAGAGAATAGTCTATCGGATCACCAATTTGGTTTCCGTAAAGGCAAGTCCACAGTTGATGCTATCCAGGCAATTGTGGACATAGCCAAAGCAGGAAAAAACAAATTGGGACCTGGAAAAAAGAAGAGCTTCTGCGCGTTGGTAGCAATTGACATACGCAACGCGTTTAATTCCGCAAGATGGAAAGATCTCATCGAGTCGATGAAAAAGAAAAACGAGTTTCGATTGAACATTCGAAGCGAACAGTTACCAAGCAGAAAAATAAAAAGCGTTCCCTTTAAGAACGCTCTACCTGTTACAAAACTAAGTGATGCAATCATAAACCAAAATGTTTTAATAAAAATAAGTGAAGTATAAATCAAAATTTATACATTCATTTGAATAACTTAAAATGTGCTAAACTCAGTATCAGAGCAATAAAATTATACTTAAATAACCCCAGAACAATAAACTAACCCTAATAAACTGATGTAATTAGTTGAAAGTTACAATTACATATTAGATACATGAACATAATACGATAAATTACAGTGATCTGATTTCATCTACAATAAAAGGAAAAGGAAGGAAGCAAATAAGTCGGAAGAGGTTAAAATTATAATTATATTGGCTATACATAAAATTATAAGGACAGCGTACAAGTGAACAATCTCGATATCAACAAGTGTCGCAACCACCTAAACAAGTTATTCCTTACAAATTGACCTTTCAAACCAACTCAACTACATCCTTTGTTTGGTTCGCTAGTTTTCATCACATTTGTAAGGTAATTGATTTGACTCGGCTTATGACAATATATTTTTAAATATTTATAAATATATATACATATAAAATTCAATATTTAAGATAATCAAATAAATTGATATACATAAATTTTTTGGATCAAATAAAAAATATATAAATATATATTTTTCCTTTTTTTTCTGTTTCTTGATATCTGCTCCAAGCAGTAATATTAAAATTATGAAATTAGACATTTTGTTTTCTCTTAATTAAAGACTATATTGTTTTCTATTATGAATTTAAACCTCGAGCTTCTTTGTTATTCGAATCGTACTTACTTTTCCCTCTAATAAATTTCTGCTACTAAATTAAAATAATAATAGTAACAGAAATTTTGAGATTTATACCAAAATACAGGAATAAATTTTCTTATTATATTTTATACAGACCCCGATTTAACTTGTCTGTTAAAAACAAAACTGAATAAAACTAAAATAAACTTAAATAACTAAAACTAAACAACTAGTTTAATAAATAGCAACAAATATAACTATTAAAGAGAAGGGAGATATAACAATAATTATAGGATTTTTGTCGGATAAATAACCAAACATATCGATATCATCATCAATAAGTCATTGCAAGTTATAAGAATAATAATGACAATAATATACTAAATTTCTAAGGCATGTGAGTCTTGAACTGATTAGTGATTTTCAAGATTTAATATATTGACATGTTGAATTAATTGGTTAATTTAAAATGACCTCTTTATTCGAATAATAAACTCCATTGTTTTGTATTATAATTAACTTTTTCTGGGGTTTTTTTTCTTTTCTCCCCTATAATTTTTTTCTTTACTTTACCGTCAATTGGCATGACCAGGCGACACAACCATCATCACGGTAAGAGAAGGAACAGGAGAGGTAAAGAGGGTAAATTGGTGAGTCAACAGACTGTAGATATAAACCAAAATCGTTCCAACTCCCTCAATCAAAATAATAAATCTAATCCAATTCCCAAACTTAATTCACCACCACCTGGTTTCTCTGGTACCTCAGTAATTGATTCACTAAGAGAGGATTTGAACCAAGAAAACTCAATAGACAGAGTTAAAAGAATCACTAACCAACTATCGAGAAGACTAGACAGATCTACTCCAACTATGATGTTTACAAATTCTTCTTTCCATTCCTCTCCTGCAAATAGTAAAAGAACCTTCGATAACTTAACAAACAATAAAATAGAAACTCCCCAAGAACGCTCAAATTCATTATCTCCCGGTGTCTTGCACTCTAAGAAAAAATTTAGGGCGATAATCACAGGACTTCCAGATGCAAATTCTCTCCAAATACAAATTGATATGGGAACATTTAGGGCCAGCTCACCAAGTACCTCTGAACAATTTCCACCAAATTTAGATACAAACCCAGACTTAACCCATGAAACACAAAATTCTAAAAAAACAATCCTTATCCACCTCCACAACAAAATCAAAATGATCCAGAATTCTAATGGGTTTCTCCATATCTCACACCTAGCGACTACAAGCACCTCTACAATAACACTCATGACTCTCCGTATATGGTCCTCATCGAATCAACCAACCCCCAAAGGAACTTGGGAAAACTGGACCCAATAGCTATAGGGAAAAAATTCTCTAAATGGATTACGGGAGACAGAAAGATCTATATAAGTGGAAAAAATCAAGTAAAGATCCTTTGCGACCTACTCGAAGATGCCAACTCCCTCCTATCCTCCACTGAGTTATCTAATATGGAACTGGCTTCATATATTCCACAATCTTTACTCTTCCGTAAGGGCAACATTAACGTTCTAAAAACCCACTCGGTAACCGAAATTATAAATAATGTAGACGAAGAAACATTCTATTTTAGCATCAGCGGTTAGAAGAAGACAAAGAGGCAGTAATTTACTACTTGACTCAATTGAATTAAGATTTAAATCCGACTCCATCCCCAAAACGGTATTTATACACAGTGTGGCTCATCATGTATACCCTGTCATCCCACAACCTAAAAGATGCCACAATTGCCAACTATTTGGACATATTTTAGCCCAATGTAAAGCATCAAGATCAATTTGTGAATTCTGTGGGGGATTTCATGAGTCCACTAATTGTGAAGACCAATCTTTTTCTAATTTCTGTTTTAATTGCGCAGGAGATCATAAATCTTCATCTAGTATCTGCCCAGTATATAGATTTGAATACCTATTTATGAAGGAACGCTACATACATAACCTCTCTAGAAATGAAGCTATCTTCAATCTCCAACAGAGAGGAATTTTAATGCTCAGATCTGATGATGTAGTAATTGAAGCACCAGGGATTTCTGAAGAATTAAACCCCACAGACCAATCCTTATCTTCTAAAGAAGACTCCCATCTCACAGATCAGGCTAGTTCAGTTAATCTTAATGTTCTACACCAAAACGAATCTAATAAAATAACATCCGATCCTATCCTTAATCCAACGGGTAATATCTCCCAGGAATCCACTCCAAGCAACCTACTAAATGATATGGATATGGATACAACACCAATCATAGAATCCACTAACCATCTTCATATTGAAACCAATAACCTGACAATCCTAAAACCCCCACCCCATCCTTAACCAAACCAGGCTAACCTAATCGTTAATCTGTCTGAAAAACAACATCTATACTAAGTCTCACATGCCTTTAATGTACCATAGCTTATTAAGTTAATTAGTTTATTTAAGTGTAAAATCGGGAAAAGTACTGTCCAAAATGGACTTTAAATGCGCAACTTGGAACGCACGAAGCCTAATCAAAAAGAAGATCAATTGCGAAACTCTCTTATTACAATATAACCTAGACTTACTTTCAGTAACCGAAACATGGTTCACTGAAAAAAACAAAAATTATAAAATCAAAGGATACTCATGCATCAGGTGTGACCGAAATCTCCCCACTCCAGGAGGAGGTACAGCAATATTTATTAAATCCTCATATATATTTGAACAGATCGATCTAACAGGCCCTTAGACCGATATTCTCCATTAGGGTTAATACCCTCCTGGGCAGATTGTACATTATCTCTGCCTATATTCCTCCCAATGCCAGAGTCTCAATCAATTTAATATCTGAACTAGCCACTAAAATCCCTTCTGACGGTAAAATTATTTTGATGGGGGACTTTAATGCCCACCTCCCTGATTACTTACCTTACCACCTCAACAAAATGGGCAAAATGATCAACTACTTACAGGAGATCCTAGATGTTAATATTATCAATGACGATGCCCCCACAATAAGTCATACCCAGGGGTCGTTGGGTAGCGTTCTTGATTTACAATTGGTGTCCTCCGATCTGTCCTATATTTGTACCTCTGAAACCCTGAATGAAAGCTTTGGCAGCGACCATTACCCAGTCACTTTGATCATTCCGATCAAACTAGAAACAAACTGTCAGAGTTCTACAAGGTTAAATCTAAAAAAGGTTAATTGGGTCGAATTTAATAAACTGATGTTAACCAACTTACCGGCTTTTGATGAGTTCGAAAATAACCTTTTAAGTAAATACGACTGTTTCACTGCCTCTATAGTCGAATCACTGATCTCAGCGGGAGCTTATATCCCAAACAATTCAAACCCTTCTTCACCTATCAAGCCCTCATGGTGGTCAGAGGAATGGAATAAAGTCCTTGCAGAAAAAAAGAAAGCAAGAAAAGCCTATCTTCTTAACCCAAATAGAGAAAACTTTGACCTATACTTGGAAATTGAGAAAAACTCGGAGAAAGCCTTAATGGAACAAAAAAAGAAATCATTTAGATCTCTCTGCAATTCAATTTCACCCAGTTTAGGTTCAAAAAGGATTTGGAGCTTAATAAGGGCTTTCTCAGGTAAATTCTCGAAAGCAAATATTAAGTCAAATGATCCAAACTCGGAGGAATTACTTAGGTTACAAAATGATATAGTTAGAGAAGATATTCTTCCTATCCCACACAATAAAATCACACAAATAGACGAAAACGACATCTACAACTCACCTTTTACTAAAACCGAAATTTATGCAGCACTTTCTAAATGTAAAAAAGACTCAGCCCCGGGACTAGACAAGATATCTTATGCAGTAATAAAGAGACTTCCATTACCGTGTCTTGAAAAAATAATTGAATTCTATAACGTCTGCTTTAAACAATCGGAATTCCCGAATTCATGGTATTCTACTTTGGTTAAATTTATCCCAAAACCCAATGGTAAAGGTTTTCGACCGATCTCTCTTACTTCAGCTTTGGGTAAACTGATGGAGAGGTTGGTCAATACCAGACTCGAGCACTTTGTTGAGCAGCGGGGCTTGATTCCGGATCACCAGTTCGGCTTTCGTAGGGAACGTTCCGCTTTGGACTGTGTCTCATATCTGTCTGCTGATATCTTGAGAAACTTTGTCAGGGGAAAAAAATCGTCGCAGTAGCCCTAGACATAAAAGGTGCATTTAATGCTCTGTTGCCTTCAGCCGTTTTAACTCAACTTACGGAGCTAGGGGTGCCCTCCAGAATACATAACTTCGTATCATTCATGATAACAAATAGGATGCTCTTTTTTGGAGGAGAATCTTCCGCACCGCGAATTTGTGGAGTGGGGGTCCCTCAGGGTGGAGTACTCTCTCCCCTCCTTTTTAATCTCGCACTCAGAGAAATCAAGACAGTTATCCAAGGGGATGTAGAGATCTTACAGTTTCCTGATGACATTCTTCAGCATGCATCGGATGAAGACATGAATATAGCTCAGTCATCGATTGAGGCGGCTATTGATAGATTGATTTCTTGGTTAGCTGAGTTGGGGTTTAGCGTTGCAGCAGGCAAAAACCAATTATGTATTTTTTCCAGAAGTTCAGACGACCTTTCGCAAGAGACAATTAGGGTGGGTAACAACCAAATTACTAACGAGGGAAAGTTAACATACCTGGGGGTTATTATGGACCATAAACTCAATTGGCATGACCACATATCCGACCTGGTGGTACGAGCCAACAGGTCACTTAACATTATCAGAT